GCTGTTTAATGCATCATGAGTTTTATAAACAGAACAGCAACTTTGCAGCTCTCTTTCCTCAAGTGCACAGCAGTGACAAGCGAATTAAGGTAGCATGCTTTGAAGCTAAAACACATAATGATCCTTTTGCTGTCAGGCAACCACAGAGCCATCGCATGTGAAAAGCCTCAATACTTCATGTTTTTACACATGGCAATTCCACCTCCTTAGCCTTTCAGTGCCATAGAGATGGGGAGCACGCGACATCTGTCACATTAAAAGAGAAAAATATGTGGAACAGAAGCCTCCTATCCTGGTAGATGGTCCTTTCTCCCATACAACGCACCCACAATGATGGCAGCATGTTTAGTTTTTCAAACTAAAATTATCTTCAGTGATGGTCTTCAATTATTCATTTAATATATCTAGTGGTTTATTTGTTGCTTTAAATCCTAAATAATGTATAATTATGTCACACACACACACACACACACACACCCCCCCAACCATTTGGTCAAGTATTCAAGCAACAGACAAAACATTCAATAAATCAAAAAGGACAAAAAGCCACTAATTGTCACATTTATTGAAATATAGTATTGGATATGTGCATGTAAAATATACATATACTGGACATGTCTCATAGGTTTCTTTACATCATAATTGCACTTTCTCTCTCTTTGGCACCTGCACATGAGGATATAACAGTTTCACCACAGTTAAAAACTGAAACTGCATTCAAGGCTAATATGAATTCCCTTTACTATACTATAGATAATATCAAAAGACTTTGTTGCTGAAAAAAAAAAAAAAAAAAAAAAAAGTTTGTAGGTTAAGACAGTGCAAAGTCTGGAGTAGTTTCTTTAGATTTTGCTTCCAAGAGCTCAGATTTATTTATTTTAAAGGTGGCTTTGAGCAGTCTAACCAACAAATAAAATGCCCAAGATAATGGTTTGATAAGGTATATTTATAAAAAAAAATTAATTTGCACCAACAAGGAAACCCTAGCGTTACTATGTAAAAACTTGGCACATCTCGGCATGGTGAAGTGTTGTCATGATTTGTGAAATTTTGACCATAGAAAAATGTAAATCTATTTTATTCCTACGTGCGATACATCTGGAAAACATCTTGTCAACAGCTTCGTTTTTCAGCCAAACAAAGATTCCAAGCACACTGGCAGTGCAGTAAAAGCATACCTGATAAAGTGAAAAAACAAAAAAGGCACAGTTGAGCACTGTCAGTCACTGACCTTCCCAGAGCCTGAACCTCACTATGAGGCAGTGTGGGATCATCTTGACAGAGAAAGGAGCAAAAGGCAGCCGATATTGAAAGAAGAGCTTGCAAAATATAAAGAAACGAGCGATGGGTAAACACTTTTGCACAGTACTGTTTACATGCAAATTTCAATATTATTACTACCTCTTAACACTTGGCACTTCAGAAAAATACTTAGAGTCTGAAACAAACACTATAGGAGACATTCCCTTTAACATCCTTCACATGTCAACATTACCAGGTACAACACATTTTTAAAAAATAATAATAAAATAAAATAAAATAAAATAAAATAAAATAGAAACCACGCTCCTCCACACTGAACACCTGAAAATTCACATCCTGGACGCAAACAAGCATCCCTTACTGTTGATTATTGTCATGATGTCAGTGCAGTTTGTACCATGTGCACTGAAGCAAGCAGATGGCAAAGTTTATACTCTCCACTTCCCTCATCAACCAAGTTATTGACGTACTGTCAAGACATTCCTTAAATAAATAGCTCAAAGCCGAGAACGAGCTTAAAATTATTGCTTTTGTTCCCAAATGTCCCTTATGTTCTCACTATAGCCACACTGTTGGTCCTTTACTCTTTAGAGGTAAAAACACATAAAACACAACACAGAGAGAAAAGTTGAAGATGTTCACACTGGAGCAATGACACAATATTTAAAAACAAAAAACAAAAGCAGTGTATTTGTTGAAAGCATTTCTCTGCCAAGGCTGGAATTCCCTCCATACAATGTGTGAACAGAGCCCCTGGATCCAAGACTTCATCTGGACCCAAGTTACTTTCATATTTGCTCAGGAAAATAAAAATTATATTTCACCTTGTTTCAATCTGATGTGCACTTGCAAAATTATAATCTCCCCCAATTTCATGGAATCCTTACTTTTATAGTAACTTCATAGAAAACTTTGTAACTTCATTTAGTTTTTATGCAAATCCATGCATACCTTCAGTATCTTGCCAACAATCTAGCAATTGTTTGAAGGAAAAAAAAAAAGAAAAAAGGATGTAATAATAAAAGTGCATTAAAACAAGAATCAAGACATGTCATAGTTTTTGCACATATATTATTAGGGCAGCCAGCATGATTACAGAAACGGACGGTAAAGCAGGATTAGAGAAAAGGACACATTAGCACCATCGGTTTGTTTACATGCTTCAGAGACAGCAGCTCAGAGCCTGCTTAAACTCTGAAATTGCAAAAGGGAGTTAAAAAGCTGCAGAGCAGAATCTTTTCTATGACAGATAGTCATTTGTGCA